GTTATTAAAGTCTAGTTGTATTCATTTTACTGGTGTATTTGTTAGTCTGTTTACAGAATTATTAGAATAGCTCAAATTAATCAATGATTTTTTTCAAGCGGTTCTGGATTATTTTGTTTGAGAGCCGTTGTCATTGCTCTTTAAAGCCTCTGGAGTCAAATTTGGGGTTTTGTCTTTCAGAAAACTATCCGACCGATGGGAAGTCCGAGTCCGTGTCTAACCTGCAGCCCCAGCCCTCCTCCAGCTCCCTGCACTCCAGCTCCCCGGGGCCCAAACGCTCCGGAAACACTCTGAAGAAACTGTTCAGTCCAGTCCGGCGCCTCAGCAGCAGCTCCGTCAAGAAGTCGCCCAACAACAAAACCAAGAAGACCGGTGAGAGCAACGTTCTGCGGGAAAGAGTTTACTTTAGTTTAGTTTTTATTAGAAGGGAGAATGTACAGAGACATGTTTACTTCATTAAAATACATGGATACAGTAAAGTACAATCCAATAGAAATACCATCACAATACACACACTCTGATACACACACACACACATTTCTCTGATACAGACACACACACACACACTTACGTCTTATACCTGTTTATTAAACACACACATACATAAGATATGTTTCAACACATTCAGTGCATTTCAAATCTCATCCTACAAGGTTCACATCAGTGTCCTGTAAAAACATGTTTAGTTTATCTCTTTGTTGATTCGATGTCATTTTATTCTAAAGCCTTTTGGTCGTTTTGAGTGTTGTAAAGATCTGTAGAAATAAAACTAATGGATTGTTGTTTCCTCGTTTAGGAATCGGCAACGAGGGCTTCGAGCACCGGTCGCACCTGGCGCTCCAGGATGACATCATCAATGAGGTAAGCGGACGCACTCGAGCAGAACGAGAGCTTTACAGAAGTCGACGTCGCGGAAAAAACGCTGTGTCTTTTCTTTGTTGGAAGTTTGAAGTTTCCAAAACTGTGGAAACTTTGCCGTGTCAGGATTTTGTTGTTTAAACTGTGGTTGTGTCCTTAGGCAAGACACTTCCCCCACATTAGAATGAGTCTGGTGTGTGTGTGAGTGGTTGGTGGTGGTGGGAGGGGCTTCTGTCAGTGTGCCCCAGGGCAGCTGTGGCTACAGTAGTTTATCACCATCGTGTTTGGAGAGAGAGAACAATGTGAAGAGAATTTGAGAATCTGAAAAAGCTCTGTTTAAAACAGATTTATTATTGATATTAAACTATTGATTTGAAGCAACATGAATCCTTTAAATGTTTTAGTGTCACTTTCACAGAGAAGGACAATAAATGTATTTGCTGTCACTGTTCCCACACACACTGCATTTTAGCTGAACTTAATTACATATTTTATCATTTTAATACATTTAATTCTGTATCCAGTGTGTTTTTATGTTCACTATGTTTATGGTCAGTTTTTGAAATGTCATTTATTTCGAGCAAATAAGTGGGCATCAAAATGTGTAGTGCAAATTAATCACAAGCAACTTAGGTACATTACAGATTATAACAAAAAGAGTAAATGATACAAAACAATTTAGATACAAATGAGAAAATTAGACAGGTGCTTTATTGATCCTTGTTGGAGATCTGCAGGTGTCCGGGAGCAGGATAAAAACATGAATCCTACCGAGGACTCACTGCCGTTTCCAGAACATTGAAAAATAAAAAAATAAACATTTACCAAATAAAACCACTGCTGTATTCCCATAAACTCTGATCTCGACTCCTTCTTTGTTGGAGAAATGACTGAATCCGTCTCTTTTATAGACTGTGGCGAGTAAAGAAGTTTCTCTGGCAAAGTCTGGGATGCAGAGCGGAGGAGAAGAGGATCAGGATGAAGAGGCAGCCACTCCTCTTCCTCCTCGCATGGAGATCATGAATGGGCCCGATGACAAGGTGACACACGACACACACACACGACAAACACGCACGACAAACACGCACGACAAACACACACACGACAAACACACACGACAAACACGCACGACAAACACACACACGACAAACACACACGACAAACACGCACGACAAACACACGCACGACAAACACACACGACAAACACGCACGACAAACACACGCACAACAAACGCACACGACAAACACACGCGACAAACGCACACGACAAACACACACGCGACAAACGCACGCGACAAACGCACACAACAAACGCACACAACAAACGCACACGACAAACGCACACGACAAACGCACACGACACACACACACGACACACACACACGACAAACACACACGACAAACGCACGCGACAAACGCACACGCGACAAACGCACGCGACAAACGCACACAACAAACACACACGACAAACACACACGACACACACACGCGACAAACGCACACAACAAACGCACACAACAAACGCACACGACAAACGCACACGACAAACGCACACGACACACACACACGACACACACACACGACAAACACACACGACAACGCACGCGACAAACGCACCGCAACGCACACAACCACGCACGCACACGCGACAAACGCACGCGACAAACGCACACACACACACAACAACACACACGACAACCACACAACGCACACGACACGCACGCGACAACGCACGCACAAACGCACACACAACAACACAACACACAAACGCACACACACACGACAAACGCACCGACAAACGGCACGCGACAACGCACGCGACAAACGCACACGGCAAACGCACGCGACAAACACACACGACAAACGCACACGACAAACACACACGACACACACACACGACAAACACACACGACAAACGCACGCGACAAACGCACACGCGACAAACGCACGCGACAAACGCACACAACAAACACACACGACAAACGCACACGACAAACGCACGCGACAAACGCACACAACAAACGCACGCGACAAACACACGCGACAAACGCACGCGACAAACACACACGCGACAAACGCACGCGACAAACGCACACAACAAACACACACGACAAACGCACACGACAAACGCACGCGACAAACGCACGCGACAAACGCACACGGCAAACGCACGCGACAAACACACACGACAAACGCACACACACGACACACGACAAACGCACACGACAAACGCACACGACAAACACACACGACAAACACACACGACACACACACACGACAAACGCACACAACAAACGCACATGACACACGCACACGAAACGCACACAAACGCACACGCACACGACAAACGCACACGACAAACGCACACACAACAAACGCACATGACAAACGCACACGACAAACGCACACGACAACGCACACGACAAACGCACACGACAAACGCACACGCACGCACGACAAACGCACACGACACAAACGCACACGACAAACACACACACAACAAACACACACGACACACGCACACGACAAACGCACACGACAAACGCACACGACAAACGCACACGACAAACGCACACGACAAACGCACACACAACAAACACACACGACACACGCACACGACAAACGCACACGACAAACGCACACAACAAACACACACGACACACGCACACGACAAACGCACACGACAAACACACACGACAAACACACACGACAAACACACACGACAAACACACACGACAAACACACACGACACACACACACGACAAACACACACACAACAAACACACACAACAAACAAACACACACAACAAACACACACGACAAACACACACGACAAACACACACGACACACACACACGACAAACACACACGACACACACACACGACAAACGCACGCGACAAACACACACGACAAACACACACACAACAAACACACACAACAAACACACACGACAAACACGCACGACATCAACAAAAACAATAATTACCATAAATAAATAAGCCTTGTTACATTAATGTCTCTTTAATCTCCCTTTAAAGAAGCTATACCCTTTATTTCTAATGAGTTCATAAAAATGCTTATTACTACAGACAAGTTGTATTAAAATCTGTTATTTAATGTAAAACTTGAGCTCATTGATTCAGCTGTGGATGAACTCAGTAAAAAGTGCTGAGTAGAGACTTAGCGTGACGCCCGCTCTCCTCCAATCACAGAACGAGGCTGCGTCCTTTAGCCTCTACAGCTAAACACAGTAGCATGTTAGCATAAGTGGCTATAACTCCTCTGGCTGTAACTGCAGACACAGCAAAACAGCCCAAACCACACAACAGTGAGGAAGAGAAGAGGGACTAAAGCCACAACATGATCAAAGAAATCAGGCCCATTTCATCAGTGATTGTTGTACAGCTTAAGTTGTGCTAATGCTAATGTTAGCATATGTCTCAGATCGCAAATAAAACTAGAATGGCTCCGTGGGAGGAGAGCGTAGGGGAAATGAGCGAGTTGGGGGCGGGGCTAAACATTAAAACCTGCAGAAACGGGTATAGCTCCTTTAATGTCCCTTTAATCTCCTTCCTGTGCTGCTAATGCTAATCTTGGGTGCTACGAGTGCTAGTGACTGTCTCTGTCTTTCCCTGTCGTTCTCTCTCTCCTCTGTCCTAACCCCTCCCCCCCCGCTGGTCCGTCTGTGCCCCCCCCCCGCAGCCCCCCCTGCAGCCGCCCCTGCAGCCCCCGGTGGAGGTCCCCAGTGCTGCAGAGCTGGTTAGCGCTATAGAAAAACTGATTAAAACCAAAATGGTGAGTTTTTATTCTGTTGGTGGCGTTAGGTCCAGGCCCCGCTCTGCTCTGATGTGGTTCGTCTCGGTTACTAATCTTTCACTCTTTTCTGTCCTTTTGCCTCAAAATGTTTAAATATCACAGTGTTAAAATGTTTATATTGATGGAACACTTTTGGAGTTGATGTGCATATGATTTTTTATTATTATTGTATTTTTATTCAATTTTAGGAATACATTTTAGCCCCGGTCCCTCCCACATTATCCCCAAGAGGAGAGATATTATGACATTTAACACAAAATACATTTATAAGAAGAATATAAAAAGTGAGAGAGAATAATTATGATAATAAAATAGAAATTAGAAATAAAATAAAAATTAATAAAAAAGATAAAAGCAGTTGATAATAAATAATAAATTTGGTAATGTATGCATGATTTTGTCCTGTTGTTATTCTTCATTCATAATATTCACCAGATCTATACAGCATTACAATAAACACATAATCACCAACATTGATTTAACTACTGTAAAAACCAACAAACAAATATAAATGTTTTTACACCTAAAATTTTTAAAGATGCACCAATACCAGTTTTTCCACGGACAAAAGGTAAATGGCCTTTCATGCTCCTGGCATCAAAACAAATGTAAAAGTCTAGGATCATTGTCTGAAATGATGATATAATCCATGAACCCTAAAACAGACTTTGTAAATAAAATACTTTTTTTTTCCCCCCACAGCCGTTGGAGTCGGGAACATACCCTGGGTTCGAGTCCCTGTCCCCTACAGAACAGACCACACCAGTCCAGCCTCGGAACCCTGAGCTGGAGCAGAGGGCGAAGGCTCTGAGGGGCCGCATGTGAGAAAAACACGGACTAATGCTAATGCTAATGCTAACACTACTTCAGCTCCTACTAACGGCCATTTTAACGTGTCATAGGTACGCGCTGAATGAGATGATTCAGTCGGAAAAAGACTATGTCCAGTATCTTGGAATTATAGTGGAGGTAAATGTGATCTTTGGTTCAATGCTACTTTTTACCAAGATAATGACATAACAATGAAAACAGATTTGTATTGTGCTATCAAGCTAACAGTACGGCTGTTCCCACTCCGCAGGGCTTCATGAAAAGGATAAAGGAGAAAGGGGTTCCCGAAAATATGGAAGGAAAAGACAAGATTGTTTTTGGGAATATCCAACAAATCTACGAGTGGCATAGAGAGTGAGCTTTAAACACACAAAACAACTTTTTTTAACTCATAAACTGCATACATATGATTCTTATAGTGCTCTCTCCATGTCCTAGTCATTTTAGTGCAAATTAGATAAAAATCACTCTTTTGAGCTTACAACCTGTGTGTGTGACGTCAGTTGGTGTGTGTGTGATGTCAGTTGGTGTGTGTGTGATGTCAGTTGGTGTGTGTGTGTGACGTCAGTTGGTGTGTGTGTGACGTCAGTTGGTGTGTGTGTGACGTCAGTTGGTGTGTGTGACGTCAGTTGGTGTGTGTGTGACGTCAGTTGGTGTGTGTGTGACGTCAGTTGGTGTGTGTGTGTGATGTCAGTTGGTGTGTGTGACGTCAGTTGGTGTGTGTGTGACGTCAGTTGGTGTGTGTGTGACGTCAGTTGGTGTGTGTGTGACGTCAGTTGGTGTGTGTGTGATGTCAGTTGGTGTGTGTGTGACGTCAGTTGGTGTGTGTGATGTCAGTTGGTGTGTGTGTGACGTCAGTTGGTGTGTGTGTGACGTCAGTTGGTGTGTGTGTGACGTCAGTTGGTGTGTGTGTGACGTCAGTTGGTGTGTGTGTGACGTCAGTTGGTGTGTGTGTGACGTCAGTTGGTGTGTGTGTGTGACGTCAGTTGGTGTGTGTGTGTGTGTGATGTCAGTTGGTGTGTGTGTGACGTCAGTTGGTGTGTGTGTGACGTCAGTTGGTGTGTGTGACGTCAGTTGGTGTGTGTGTGACGTCAGTTGGTGTGTGTGTGACGTCAGTTGGTGTGTGTGTGACGTCAGTTGGTGTGTGTGTGTGATGTCAGTTGGTGTGTGTGACGTCAGTTGGTGTGTGTGTGACGTCAGTTGGTGTGTGTGTGATGTCAGTTGGTGTGTGTGTGACGTCAGTTGGTGTGTGTGTGACGTCAGTTGGTGTGTGTGTGACGTCAGTTGGTGTGTGTGTGACGTCAGTTGGTGTGTGTGTGACGTCAGTTGGTGTGTGTGTGACGTCAGTTGGTGTGTGTGTGACGTCAGTTGGTGTGTGTGTGACGTCAGTTGGTGTTTGTGTGTGACGTCAGTTGGTGTGTGTGTGTGTGTGATGTCAGTTGGTGTGTGTGTGACGTCAGTTGGTGTGTGTGTGACGTCAGTTGGTGTGTGTGTGATGTCAGTTGGTGTGTGTGTGATGTCAGTTGGTGTGTGTGTGATGTCAGTTGGTGTGTGTGTGACGTCAGTTGGTGTGTATAATGTCAGTTGGTGTGTGTGTGATGTCAGTTGGTGTGTGTGTGACGTCAGTTGGTGTGTGTGTGACGTCAGTTGGTGTGTGTGTGACGTCAGTTGGTGTGTGTGATGTCAGTTGGTGTGTGTGTGATGTCAGTTGGTGTGTGTGTGACGTCAGTTGGTGTGTGTGTGACGTCAGTTGGTGTGTGTGATGTCAGTTGGTGTGTGTGTGACGTCAGTTGGTGTGTGTGTGACGTCAGTTGGTGTGTGTGTGACGTCAGTTGGTGTGTGTGTGACGTCAGTTGGTGTGTGTGTGACGTCAGTTGGTGTGTGTGTGACGTCAGTTGGTGTGTGATGTCAGTTGGTGTGTGTGTGACGTCAGTTGGTGTGTGTGTGACGTCAGTTGGTGTGTGTGTGACGTCAGTTGGTGTGTGTGAGACGTCAGTTGGTGTGTGTGTGTGACGTCAATTGGTGTGTGTGTGACGTCAGTTGGTGTGTGTGTGACGTCAGTTGGTGTGTGTGTGATGTCAGTTGGTGTGTGTGTGACGTCAGTTGGTGTGTGTGACGTCAGTTGGTGTGTGTGTGTGACGTCAGTTGGTGTGTGTGTGTGACGTCAGTTGATGTGTGTGTGTGACGTCAGTTGGTGTGTGTGTGACGTCAGTTGGTGTGTGTGTGTGATGTCAGTTGGTGTGTGTGTGTGACGTCAGTTGGTGTGTGTGTGACGTCAGTTGGTGTGTGTGTGTGATGTCAGTTGGTGTGTGTGTGTGACGTCAGTTGGTGTGTGTGTGTGACGTCAGTTGGTGTGTGTGTGTGACGTCAGTTGGTGTGTGTCTGACGTCAGTTGGTGTGTGTGTGACGTCAGTTGGTGTGTGTGACGTCAAAGTTGGTGTGTGTGTGACGTCAGTTGGTGTGTGTGTGACGTCAGTTGGTGTGTGTGTGGCGTCAGTTGGTGTGTGTGTGTGACGTCAGTTGGTGTGTGTCTGACGTCAGTTGGTGTGTGTGTGACGTCAGTTGGTGTGTGTGTGACGTCAGTTGGTGTGTGTCTGACGTCAGTTGGTGTGTGTGTGACGTCAGTTGGTGTGTGTGTGATGTCAGTTGGTGTGTGTGATGTCAGTTGGTGTGTGTGTGATGTCAGTTGGTGTGTGTGTGTGACGTCAGTTGGTGTGTGTGTGTGACGTCAGTTGGTGTGTGTGTGTGTGACGTCAGTTGGTGTGTGTGTGTGACGTCAGTTGGTGTGTGTGTGTGACGTCAGTTGGTGTGTGTGTGACGTCAGTTGGTGTGTGTGTGACGTCAGTTGGTGTGTGTGTGACGTCAGTTGGTGTGTGTGTGACGTCAGTTGGTGTGTGTGTGACGTCAGTTGGTGTGTGTGTGACGTCAGTTGGTGTGTGTGACGTCAGTTGGTGTGTGTGACGTCAGTTGGTGTGTGTGACGTCAGTTGGTGTGTGTGTGTGACGTCAGTTGGTGTGTGTGTGACGTCAGTTGGTGTGTGTGACGTCAGTTGGTGTGTGTGTGATGTCAGTTGGTGTGTGTGATGTCAGTTGGTGTGTGTGACGTCAGTTGGTGTGTGTGTGACGTCAGTTGGTGTGTGTGACGTCAGTCTGAGTCTGATATAAACCGATCCAAGTCTCACACACACACAGCAGCAGGTTGGAGTATTCTGGCGACATCTAGTGGATTAATATTAAATTACACCAGTTGAAACCACTGCTGCTGAGATAATTGTGTGTCTTAGGTTCAGGTGTGTAGCTTTACAATTATCTTAGTGTGTAAACAAAGGAATGAGACTTTCTGGTGTAAACTGTTGCTTTAAGCAGAAATGGCAACTGTTTTTTTGTGTGACAAGTGAGCTGTCAATCACAGCCCAGACCACGCCCACCTCTAAGCCTTCTTCTTGTCCCCTGGTCCTCGGCAACGCTCTCTTTAAATGTTCATGTGGGCGGAGTCAGGCTAGGCACGGTTGTTTAGATCTTTTAAAGTTAAAAAACCTTTGATAAGTCTTCAGTGTTGTCACACAAAGGTCAGGGTCATGTCCTGTTTAAAAACTCGCCTTCTCAGTTTATGATTGAAAAGTGTTTTTGAGCAGACATCACCTTCAAAGAGCATCTTTTCCAAATGAATCACTTTTTTCTAATTCATCGATAAAGCTTGTGTTCAAATACAAATCCATTGTTTTCTGTAGCTACTTTGTGGGAGAGTTGGAGAAATGTCTGGAGGACCATGATTATCTTGCGGAGCTCTTCATCAAACATGTGAGTACTATTTTTGTCCATGTTGTGTTACTGCAAAGAGAAGTGTGTGCTGATGGTTGTGTTGTGTTGTCCTGGTGCAGGAGCGGAGACTTCACATGTACGTCATCTACTGCCAGAACAAACCCAAGTCAGAGTACATCGTAGCAGAATATGATTCATACTTTAATGTAAGTTCAGTCGTGTGTCTACGCTCTAACTTTCAGTCCTAAATGTGTCGATATTAAAATGATCCTAATCTACAGGGAATTCAGCAAGACATCCAGATGAAGTCTGGCATTGGGGAATATCTCATTAAACCTATTCAAAGAATCACCAAATATCACTTGATACTAAAGGTACGCCCTGTTGTCTCTTGTTCTCGTCGTGAAGGACTTTAATATAACTGTTTCATATTTCTAGGAATTTCTGATGTACAGCTTAAAGGCAGGACTGGACTGTGACCAAATTGAGGTAAAATATACTTTATCACCGCTGCTGTTGCTGTTGCAAGACTTTTTGTTGTGTTTTTGTTTATCTGACGAGGCTTCTCTGTCTGCAGAAAGCTGTCGACATCATGTCCCAGGTTCCTAAACTCTGCAATGACATGATGAATTTGGGCCGATTACAAGGTTATGAGGTAAAGCTCTTTCATTGAACAAACCTTACAGTAAAATAAAACCTGTTTGACCATGACGTCTCTCTTCAGGGTAAACTGACCAGTCAGGGCAAGCTGCTGCAGCAGGAAACCTTCTTTGTGACGGAGCAGGACGGAGGAGTTCTGTCTCGAGCCAAAGAGCGCCGGGTTTTCCTCTTTGAGCAGATCGTCATCTTCAGTGAGCTGCTCCGGAACACACCCGGGTACCTGTTCAAAAAGAGCATAAAGGTACTGTTTGTGCTCAGTATGGATCAGTATGGATCAGTATGGATCAGTATGGATCAGTATGGATCAGTATGGATCAGTATGGATCAGTATGGATCAGTATGGATTAGTATGGATTAGTATGGATTAGTATGGATTAGTATGGATTAGTATGGATCAGTATGGATTAGTATGGATTAGTATGGATTAGTATGGATTAGTATGGATTAGTATGGATTAGTATGGATTAGTATGGATCAGTATGGATCAGTATGGATCAGTATGGATTAGTATGGATTAGTATGGATTAGTATGGATTAGTATGGATTAGTATGGATTAGTATGGATCAGTATGGATCAGTATGGATCAGGGGGCGGGTCCCGGATCAAAAATGTCCAAAATGACGTTCGCTGACATCCAATCCACTTTATCTATACAGCACGTTTCATACACACAGGTTCCAAAGTGCTGCACAGTACCACCCGGGCCTGTGGGGGTGGACCTAGAATAAGAATTAGCCAATGCTAACAGATAGCATCTTCTTCACTCTTGAAAACAGCTTTACAGGATGTTTGTGCAAAAGTGGCTCTTGGTCCAAAAGTGGCTCTTGGTCCTCTTGGTTCCAGATGTTGTTGATGCTGATTAGAAGTATATGTTTTTGGACCAGTCTAGTTTAGTCGCTGTGGACTTTTGAATGCACTCGTTAAATGAACGGGGCTCGTGCAGCTGGCGTAAATGTGTTTTTTCACATGTTCCAGTCCCTGCGGCCATTTTGAAACTGCCCATAGACTGTGAAAGTGATGTCATATTAGTTTGAAGGGCGGACATAGGCGTGACTAGGTCTATTAATATTTCCAGTCTATGATATGGATGGAAATTACATTTGCCTCATTCATGCACATTTTTACAAAGCATAGGAAAAGGAGAGTAAGTAAAAACACAGGACATATAGAGTGGGTTTTTTGGGTTTTGATCCCGCTTTGGTCCCAAGTACTCAAACTTTGGAACAGTAATTATATAAGGACAAAACATTGCTGTCCTAGAGACAGTCTAAACTCACTTTTGGTCTTTTTAATCACAACATCTTGAATCTCATCACAATTATTGAAATGAGTGAGTTTGTGTTTTGTGGTTACATGCAAGCGTCTTTTCGTTTACTGTTTTGTCACACCTCAGCGTCCCTGGGTTTACGTGTGATCTAATGGGGTCCAGATTCATGAGGTCCTGGTGTTTGTGTTCCTCAGGTCTCCTACTTGGGCCTGGAGGAGAGTGTGGATAACGACCCGTGTAAGTTTGTGCTGGTGTCTCGAGGGACGTCTGAGCACTTCACTCTTCAGGCGGCCAACGTCGAAATCAAACAAGTCTGGCTCCAGCACATAAAAGAGCGGCTGGAATATCAAAGCAACTTGTTAAATGGTATGAATAATTTCTATACAACGTGACGCTATGAGTTGGGCGACAGTAGCTCAGTTGGTAGAGCATTGGCCTTAAGGCCAGAAGGTCGTGGGTTCAATTCCCACCTCTGCACCTTCTCCATTGACTCCCACTGATGACTGCTGTCGTTGTGTCCTTGGGCAAGACACTTAACCCCACTTTGCCCAAAGCCCCCACTGAAAGATCAAGGCTATGCTCACACTCAGAGAGCAGCCGTCCTCCTGTGGACTCACCACCTGCAGAGGGTCAGTGAGGGGCTGGTGCTATGAGACTTGGGTGGCATCTCTGACTGCCACCCCCCTGACCCAGAAATGGATTAAAGGGTAGAAAATGGATGGATGGATGACGCTATGAACGCTGATGTATGTGCACGAGCTGAACGATATCAGTGTGTTTCTTTAGGATGAAAGTGCAATGATTTCTGTTTTACACCAAAGGGGTCCAAAAGCCAAACCTCAGGGTCACACTCAGCTCTGTGAACACGGTGATCATGGAAAGGCAACATTTCTGTGATTAAAGACTAAAGACTTATATTTAAGGCTTTGAAAGTTCTTTTAATTAGACAAGAAACTAATAAAGCTAGTACTGCTTTATTACCTGGAGAAGTGAATCCCAAGTGTGAGTCAAGGTGAAAGCCCCCTCGTCTCTGTTGATGGTCCGTGCGCCCCGCTTCCTGGAACCACGGACCATCAACGGAGATGAGGGGGGCTTTCACCTTTGCTCACACTTGGGATTCACTTGTCCAGAGACCACAGGGGGGCGCTGTGGTCAGTCTGAGGGCTCTGTGAGACCTGTCAGACTGACCGCATCCAGCAACAACAGCTGATCAGAGACACACCGTCTGTGTCTCTGATGAAGGCGGAAGTGAACCGCCCAAACATGTGGGAATTAAGCAGGACAAGCTTTCTTTACTTTTTCTTATTAAATGAACCTAAGATAAGGAAATGGTATAACAGGATAGTATATCTTAGAAAAATAAAACAACAGACTAATTCTATATAACCATACTATATAAACTAATAAATAGTATAAATGTAATGATATGAATATAACACGTGGTTTAATAATTAACACACATCAGTTTTGTTGTCAGTCGTCTCTCTGCCTGTACCATGCACCACACCAGCCATGACAGCGCACCCTGCAGGACACGTGAGTAATGGCTCTTCAGAACAGAAGACCATATCATTTTAAGGCCTGCCTTATAAATGCATCGACCTCATACTTGACCAGGTCCGGTGGGTAGTGACATCTCAGTGCATCTCGGGATGTGACCTCACAAAAGAACCTGTGTTTTTAATGCATTCAACACAAGCATACACATTACCTATAAGTAATGTAATAATGTAAAAATCATATTGACAAAGTTAAGCCAACAATAAAAACAACATTCAGTGATGGTACATGGCTCTGAAGTATGTTTTGTTTATGTCCCTTATTGTGTTGTGCGTTGATTATTGTCTACTGTGTTGTATGTCTATTATTATCATTGATATTATTGGTTATTTTTATAGTATGGTATTAAAATTATATTCTAGTAGATACAACATTATTTAGCTGATTGATATTGAATCATAATTTCACTATATAATAATATAATATAAAAGTGAGCGATTATTTGACTAGAGCACAAATATACATATATACATACATATAAACAGATGGATAGATGGATACTTTATTGTTCCACCGTAGGAGAAATTTAAGATAAATGACATAATATGTAGTAGGAAATGTGTATATAAAACTACCGCTGGTTTTGCTTTTGTTATATTTCCCTGTAAATGGCGACAACCATATATTTGAGGACTTAATGGGGGTGGGAGTAAATAAGCTTGTCTTCATCCCACTCCCTTCCAAGCTGTTTATTTATTTTTATTTTTTTCCTTTTCTATTGATGTGTTAATATTGTATAGCATCGTAATGTATTTCTTTTTATCTTGTGTTGTATTGTACCGGCTTGGAATAAACTAAACTAAACTAAACCTTCAAAGCCTTAAACACAAGAAAAACTTTTTGCATTTATTACTAAAGACTTATTGTTTTGTTATTCGTTTCTCTAGACTTTTAGATGTTTGCCCCGTAGGCGCCACGGTTGACTTATCTCAACAATATGTAGCTCTGTTAAAAACGGCCAATTGTGTCAAAATTCCTTCAAACTCCTGCCACACATTATTTTGCAGTGTTTTACTATATTTCCCAGACCCTTGAGTGTGGTGCAGTGAGTTCTGTTTGTGTGTTCATGTCCTAGAGATCTAAAAAAACATGTGTATTTCATGAAAATCCATGATTGCCACGCCCATATGATGTCATGATATGCAAATTAGATGGTTACATTTAATTCCTACATAAACTTTTGGCCATTCTTATCATTTCTTTAACTTACATAAAGCCTCTATCTCTTCTCACTTTTAAATTATTATGAAGTTACGGTAAGATGTCAACATTTAGCCTCAGGAAGTAACCTCTGGCGCCTAAAGGTTTAAATGTCTTGATTTGTTTGGTTGTTTTTGTCACATAAAGATGCAGTAATCTTATATAAATAGTTTCTCGTGTCCTGGAAGTCTTATACGCCAAGATGTGCATGATGGAACCTTTATTAAAGTAATTACTGGTTTAACATAAAAGCAAAAAACAAAGTATAATGACCGAGACATTTCTAGACACATTTTCTCCACTTTTCTAAGGTATTAAACCTCAGAAAAGCCTTCATCATTATTGTTGGAAAATGTTTAACCCTTTTATGTTTTCTCCTTGAAGAAAGCAATGTATAAAAAATGATATTGATAATCCAAAATGTAGGAACATAATTATTGTTTTTTGGTTACCCCTAGAATTTATAATATAGGCTTCTACAAAATGGTTGCGATGCGCTTGATGGTAAAGTGTCTAACGCCCTGTTTATACTGAGACGCTGCGCAGACGTTTCCAGGCTATTAACAGAAACGACCTGGCTCCTAATGCAAATTTCTCAGCGTTCACATGAGGTTAAAAAACGATGTAGTTCTAGCGCCCGGCCAGTAGTGGGCAGATAAACTTTACAACACGACACACGACCCCGAGCCCCGTGCCCAGCCCCCCTCTCGGCAGTGTACTCACTTCCTGTGCCAGACCCTCAGAACGCACCAACATCATTCTGCATTTTAACAGCAGCTGTGAAAATGGAAACTGAACCTAGAGCTTCGCGTGGTCTCGTTTGGACGAACGAAGGAGTAGAATTATCCTCTGTCCCGTGCTGGAAGCCCACGAAGCTAGTTTGTGTGGGCAGCGCCATTGTTGTTGATGTTTGTTCTCCGCTACTGCGCATGTCCAAATTTACGTGAGGGAGCAGCGCTGAGGTGGGGGTCAGAGCAGAGGGGGGTTTCACACCTTTCCCCTCTCGCGGGTGTTAAAGAGCCCCCGCTGTGCAGCGTTTCTGAGGCTGAGTTTACACGGAGACAATGTGGCAGTAAAACAGTATAGTTGGATGTCGGTTGCTACCAACCGTTCATACGAAGACAGTGTTCCAGGTGAAAACGTAAGTGTTCAGATCCAGCCTCAGAGTGGGACAACTCAGAAACGCTGCACAGGGGGGGCTCTTTCACACCCGCGAGAGGGGAATAGGTGTGAAATCCCCCTCTGCTCTGACCCCCACCTCCTGCTGCTCTGACCCCCACCTCCTGCTGCTCTGACCCCCACCTCCTGCTGCTCTGACCCCACCTCCTGCTGCTCTGACCCCCACCTCCTGCTGCTCTGACCCTCACCTCCTGCTGCTCTGACCCCCACCTCCTGCTGCTCTGACCCCCACCTCCTGCTGCTCTGACCCCCACCTCCTGCTGCTCTGACCCCCACCTCCTGCTGCTCTGACCCTCACCTCCTGCTGCTCTGACCCCCACCTCCGCGCTGCTCTGACCCCCACCTCCTGCGCTGCTCTGACCCCCACCTCCTGCTGCTCTGACCCCACCTCCTGCTGCTCTGACCCACCTCCTGCTGCTCTGACCCCCACCTCCGCGCTGCTCTGACCCCCACCTCCTGCTGCTCTGACCCCCACCTCCTGCCCTCTCTGCTGCTCTGACCCCACCTCCTGCTGCTCTGACCCCCACCTCCGCGCTGCTCTGACCCCCACCTCCTGCTGCTCTGACCCCCACCTCCTGCTGCTCTGACCCCCACCTCCTGCTGCTCTGACCCCCACCTCCTGCTGCTCTGACCCTCACCTCCTGCTGCTCTGACCCTCACCTCCTGCTGCTCTGACCCCCACCTCCTGCTGCTCTGACCCCCACCTCCTGCTGCTCTGACCCTCACCTCCTGCTGCTCTGACCCTCACCTCCTGCTGCTCTGACCCTCACCTCTGCTCTGACCCTCACCTCCTGCTGCTCTGACCCTCACCTCCTGCTGCTCTGACCCTCACCTCCTGCTGCTCTGACCCTCACCTCCTGCTGCTCTGACCCTCACCTCCTGCTGCTCTGACCCTCACCTCCTGCTGCTCTGACCCCACCTCCTGCTGCTCTGACCCCCACCTCCTGCTGCTCTGACCCCCACCTCCTGCTGCTCTGACCCCCACCTCCTGCTGCTCTGACCCCCACCTCCTGCTGCTCTGACCCCCACCTCCTGCTGCTCTGACCCCCACCTCCTGCTGCTCTGACCCCCACCTCCTGCTGCTCTGACCCCCACCTCCTGCTGCTCTGACCCCCACCTCCTGCTGCTCTGACCCCCACCTCCTGCTGCTCTGACCCCCACCTCCTGCTGCTCTGACCCCCACCTCCTGCTGCTGCTCTGACCCCCCCTCCTGCTGCTCTGACCCCCACCTCCTGCTGCTCTGACCCCCACCTCCTGCTGCTCTGACCCCCACCTCCTGCTGCTCTGACCCCACCTCCTGCTGCTCTGACCCCCACCTCCTGCTGCTCTGACCCCCACCTCCTGCTGCTCTGACCCCCACCTCCTGCTGCTCTGACCCCCACCTCCTGCTGCTCTGACCCCCACCTCCTGCTGCTCTGACCCCCACCTCCTGCTGCTCTGACCCCCACCTCCTGCTGCTCTGACCCCCACCTCCTGCTGCTCTGACCCCCACCTCCTGCTGCTCTGACCCCCACCTCCTGCTGCTCTGACCCCACCTCCTGCTGCTCTGACCCCACCTCCTGCTGCTCTGACCCCCACCTCCTGCTGCTCTGACCCTCACCTCCTGCTGCTCTGACCCTCACCTCCTGCTGCTCTGACCCTCACCTCCTGCTGCTCTGACCCCCACCTCCTGCTGCTCTGACCCCCACCTCCTGCTGCTCTGACCCTCACCTCCTGCTGCTCTGACCCTCACCTCCTGCTGCTCTGACCCTCACCTCCTGCTGCTCTGACCCTCACCTCCTGCTGCTCTGACCCTCACCTCCTGCTGCTCTGACCCCCACCTCCTGCTGCTCTGACCCCCACCTCCTGCTGCTCTGACCCTCACCTCCTGCTGCTCTGACCCCCACCTCCTGCTGCTCTGACCCTCACCTCCTGCTGCTCTGACCCTCACCTCCTGCTGCTCTGACCCTCACCTCCTGCTGCTCTGACCCCCACCTCCTGCTGCTCTGACCCTCACCTCCTGCTGCTCTGACCCTCACCTCCTGCTGCTCTGACCCCCACCTCCTGCTGCTCTGACCCCCACCTCCTGCTGCTCTGACCCTCACCTCCTGCTGCTCTGACCCCCACCTCCTGCTGCTCTGACCCTCACCTCCTGCTGCTCTGACCCCCACCTCCTGCTGCTCTGACCCTCACCTCCTGCTGCTCTGACCCTCACCTCCTGCTGCTCTGACCCCCGCCTCAGCGCTGCTCCCTCACGTAAATTTGGACATGCGCAGTAGTGGAGAACAAACATCAACAACAATGGCGCTGCCCACACAAACTAGCTTCGTGGGCTTCCAGCACGGGACAGAGGATAATTCTACTCCTTCGTTCGTCCAAACGAGACCACGCGAAGCTCTAGGTTCAGTTTCCATTTTCACAGCTGCTGTTAAAATGCAGAATGATGTTGGTGCGTTCTGAGGGTCTGGCACAGGAAGTGAGTACACTGCCGAGAGGGGGCTGGGCACGGGGCTGGGGGTCGTGTGTCGTGTTGTAAAGTTTCTCTGCCCACTACTGGCCGGGCGCTAGAACTACATCGTTTTTCAACCTCATGTGAACGCTGAGAAATTTGCATTAGGAGCCAGGTCGTTTCTGTTAATAGCCTGGAAACGTCTGCGCAGCGTCTCAGTATAAACAGGGCCTGAGTTGTCCCACTCTGCAGGCTGGATCTGAACACTTACGTTTTCACCCCCCTGGAACACTGTCTTCGTATGAACGGTTGGTAGCAACCGACATCCAACTATACCGTTTTACTGCCACATTGTCTCCGTGTAAACTCAGCCTAAAACAAAGTGATAGAGACAGTTTCAGTTTCAAGTCGATACAGTAATCCACCAAATAGTTAAAGAAACCATTAAAAGGTTGGAGAGCTGTTGTGAAGATAGAAAAAAAAGATAATTTCTGTGTCTTCCGCTGCAGCCCTACAGTTTCCCATGACGTACCAGAACGAGACCAAGGGCTCCTCACTGAACAGAAACCGATCCACGTCCAGCACTCAGCCAGGACCCCACAGCCGGCCCTCCTCTGCCGTGGACATGGACCGCAGCAAGAGCCAGATCAAAGTGTCCACCTCTAACGGAGGCTCCTGCTTCAGTCCCAGGGTAAGATCAGAGTGTGTGAGTGTGTGAGGAGGCGGAGCTTAAGGCCTATCGTAGTGAGTGCGTGAGGAGGCGGAGCTTAAGGCCTATCGTAGTGAGTGCGTGAGGAGGCGGAGCTTAAGGCCTATCGTAGTGAGTGCGTGAGGAGGCGGAGCTTAAGGCCTATCGTAGTAAGTGTGAGGAGGCGGAGCTTAAGGCCTATCGTAGTAAGTGTGAGGAGGCGGAGCTTAAGGCCTATCGTAGTAAGTGTGAGGAGGCGGAGCTTAAGGCCTATCGTAGTAAGTGTGAGGAGGCGGAGCTTAAGGCCTATCGTAGTGAGTGTGTGAGGAGGTGGAGCTTAAGGCCTATCGTAGTGAGTGTGTGAGGAGGTGGAGCTTAAGGCCTATCGTAGTGAGTGTGTGAGGAGGTGGAGCTTAAGGCCTATCGCAGTGAGTGTGAGGAGGCGGAGCTTAAGGCCTAATTTACTTTATTCATTCATAAAGTGCAGTGTGTGTCGTAGTGAGTGTATGAGGAGGCAGAGCTTAAGGCAATTTAAAGTGCTTTACAAGAGAAATTTAAAAACACAGCTCAAAATGCTTTAAAAAGTGAATAAAAAATACAATTATTTCATATAAAAATAGAGCAGCATAACAGTGTGGGGTTTAAAAAAAAATGAAAGGGTTTGAAAAGGGCAATAGTAATAAGTACAAAATAGAATCAGTCAGTTTTGTGCACGACTAAAAATATGTCTCTTCTTCGTCTTCTTCTCCTCTCGGTGTAGGACAGCGACGGCGGCTGTAACGGCGTCTCGTCCACCATGTTGGTAGCTCAGGACTACGCTGCGCTCAAAGAGAACGAGATCAACGTGACCCAAGGAGAGGTGGTCCAAATACTGGCCACGAACCAGCAGAACATGTGCCTGGTGTATCGCCCGGCCAACGCCATGTCGCCCGCTGCAGAGGGCTGGGTCCCGGGACACGTGCTGGGTCCGGTCTCTAAACCCCTCAGAGACTCGTCCTCCGCCTGCTCCTTCTCTGCAGCCGTGGCCGACGCAAACAACATCAAGTAAGTCCCGCCCCCTCCTCCAGACCTGTCCCGAGCGTTTAGACTGGAGAAACCCTTTTAAAGACCCTCGCAAACCGGGTTTAAGAACGAACTCTTGGACCTCACGGGAGATTTTTGTTTTTGTTGTTGCTCCGGATGTTTTGATCTTTTGGGGTAAAAAGTGGTCAAACTACTGCTTAGACTGATCCTTACTGAGCCATTGTCGCGGTGCAACTTCTGCATCTGAAGTCCCAACACACACTGAGCGGTGCAGCTTTAGTTTAACCTCTCTGTGGAGCCAACCGTACTTTTTACTTTCAGTTTCTAACACCTGCCTTTTCTTCTTTTTGTTTTTTATTCCTTTTTAATGTTTTTGTTTTTTATTGAATGATTTATGCAGCTGGGGCATTCAGGCGGACTCGGCCCCGTTCTCCGCACTGGAGATGTATTTTATTGTCTGTGGCAATCTTACTCAAATTTCTGTTGTTTCCTGTTGTTTTTATCGTCCTGTTTGATGTTGATTTGTTTCTATTTGGACGGTTCGCTGTACAGTTTGGAGCTAGCCTTTAGAACATTCCTGTTAAAAAGTCCTTTTGCACTATTTAAGAAAAAATATGAATGAAGTCAGACTGTGCAATATGTGGATTACAACACAACGGTCGCTAATGTACTGTTGATAGTCTATTAATATTAATTTTAATGTATTTTAAAGATGTAAGATAAATCTTTTGGACTGGGCATGTCTTAGCAAAGCAACGTGAAGGTTGAGTTGTTCTGCTTATGTTTGTAGTTTTAACATTTGTAAATAAACTACAACAGTAAATATATACTTTTCTACTTCTGTGTCCTAATTTTGTTGCTGTAAATGTATTTATAGACAGTGGTGCATTACACACTTTATGCTTTTGTGTCTTTAGCTCCTGTGTGTTTGTACTTTCTCTGTTGAACTTTGAGTTTTGTTTTGAGTTGTTCTAACACAGACGGTTCACTCTCCACCACAGACGGTTAAAGGTGAAGTATATGCCTGAGACAGAACTGTTGCATTATGGGTGTTCCTTGATAAACTGTGGCCTTCACTTCATGCATCGGGAAAAATGTCCTGAAACGACAAACACAAACAGATGGCTGGTCTGGGGTCAGTAGTTTAGGCCTTTAATGGTTTTGTGGATCATGTTTGAGTCTCTGCAGTATCTACTCGAGGCTCAGAACTGAAACCTCCTCATTGAGGCTTTATCACCATGGTTTTAAGAACATTTACCTCAAACTGCTCCTTTAGAGGCCTATGATTAAAAAACTAGTGCTCCTACATCTTCAAATATATACATTTACAAAAATACATGTTTTACATGCTTTCTTCAAAGAGTGATCATTAAAGGGTTAATTAATAAATCATAACAAGTACAGTTCAAATCCTTAAAGTTTGGGTTTCTATACTTTAGTTTCATCAATAAAACATTGTGGTTCTTCTGACTGAGAGTCTCTGAAAGTCAAGTGTTAGAAATCAGATCAGCTCCGAGCTGATCTGAACAGAAATAGAACCAAATTGTGGATATTATTTCACAAACTAAAATTTGGGTACGTCAGCTTTAAAGTCTGAATGCAGACTTTAGATTCTTTTTAATTTTAAAGGTGCATTGGTCAGACCATACACATGTGCACCCAGCTCTGCCTCGCTCTCATTGGTCATAGGGCGGCACAGTGTTTAGCACTCTGCCTTCTCAGCAAGAAGGTCCTGAGTTCGAATCCCGGTCGGAACAGCATGTTCTCCCCGTGTCTGCGTAGGTTTCCTCCGGGTACTCCGGGTTCCCCTACCACTAAAAACATGTACAATAGGTCTGTGCCTCCTGTACTGGCCCCTCCCATCTCTGTGTGGAGTCAGAGACTAATGCCCCCCCAAAAAAATAACTTTATAAACCGCTTTGGGACTCTGGTCTGAGAAAGGTGCTATATTAAAAAAAATGTCTTACTTACTTACTTGGATGTAGGCTCCGCCCTGCCTCTCATTTGTCACAGTAGATGTAGGCTCCGCCCTGCCTCTCTCTCATTTGTCAGTAGATGTAGGCTCCGCCCTGCCTCTCTCTCATTTGTCAGTAGATGTAGGCTCCGCCCTGCCTCTCTCATTGGTCAGTAGATGTGGGCTCCGCCCTGCCTCTCTCTCATTGGTCAGTAGATGTGGGCTCCGCCCTGCCTCTCTCTCATTGGTCAGTAGATGTAGGCTTCGCCCTGCCTCTCTCTCATTGGTCAGTAGATGTAGGCTCCGCCCTGCCTCTCTCTCATTGGTCAGTAGATGTAGGCTTCGCCCTGCCTCTCTCTCATTGGTCAGTAGATGTAGGCTCCGCCCTGCCTCTCTCTCATTGGTCAGTAGATGTAGGCTCCGCCCTGCCTCTCTCTCATTGGTCAGTTGATGTTTGTTGTTCCTGTACTGTACAGAAAGTCATTATCGTGGAACACTCTGCGTGCCCGGAAACGTGCCGAAGCCAAAGATGTGGCTCCTCTGGGGGCCAGGGCTCCTGAGAACGGCCTTGTCCGTAAACCTAAAGACACTACCCCCCCCTCGTCTGTGGGGGCCCCCGTCACCAAGGCCAAGGGCAAAGTGAGTAGAGCAGGCCTGACGGTGTGTCTTCAGACTCCTCCCAGTTTTATTTGTGTGTGTGAGTGGTTCTCAACCTGCAGTCCTGCACTCAACTCATTTGGAAAAGAGAATAACACATTTATATAAGTGTCAAGTCTGGTTTAGGCGTTTTACAGAATAACTCCATCTGGGAAATTCCACACAACACCCCCAACCATTTAGCCAAACGACCATCAGGGGTTGAGAACCTCGTGTGTCAGGATCCTTTAGTAGCTTTTTGTTTTTACTAACTTCTAGTTTTGCATTGAAATGTTTTTATTTTTATCCATTGCTTTTTGACGCATGATTTTTCTTGTTTTGTGCACTAACAACAAGATAAAGTAGTGAGATGCTCCTCCTGCTTGTTCCACATGATTTTGGTGCAACACATTTGGTTCCAGCTGGTTTGGTTTTGTTTTGCTTCCGTCCTCCCATTTTTCTTTTCAACACTTCATAGTCTTCATACTTTTCCTCCGATCCTCTGCATTTCCACCATGCTCCACCAGGACGTCCACACTTCAGACGAGTCCGACTGTGAAGATGACCTTGACCCAAAATCAGGCATGGAGGTAGGACGTAATGTTGCAGTGTGGCATATTTTGGTTAAAAATAGTCAAAAAACAACAGGCCTTGAACTGATTTGCTGCCTTTTTATAGCTTCTCAACCCCAACTTTATCCAAGAGGGTAAGATGAGCTGTTGTTATCTATACTGTATGTGTTATGAAACTAGTTGTTGAAAATGGTTTTGTTCCCAGTGGCCCCTGAGTTCCTGGTGCCTTTGTCGGATGTGGTTTGTGCGTTTGGGGAGACTGTGGTTCTCTGCTGTAAAGTGTGTGGTCGTCCCAAACCCACCATCACACTGAAGGGGCCGGACCAGAACCCAGTGACCAGCAACAGTCGCTTCACCACCGAGTTCAGGTAAGGACTGAGGCTGTAGACCCAGGACTGAGGCTGTAGACCCAGGACTGAGGCTGTAGACCCAGAACTGAGGCTGTAGACCCAGGACTGAGGCTGTAGACCCAGAACTGAGGCTGTAGACCCAGAACTGAGGCTGTAGACCCAAAACTGAGGCTGTAGACCCAGAACTGAGGCTGTAGACCCAGGACTGAGGCTGTAGACCCAGGACTGAGGCTGTAGACCCAGGACTGAGGCTGTAGACCCAGGACTGAGGCTGTAGACCCAGGACTGAGGCTGTAGACCCAGGACTGCTGCTGTAGACCCAGGACTGAGGCTGCTGTAGACCCAGGACTGAGGCTGCTGTAGACCCAGGACTGAGGCTGCTGTAGACCCAGGACTGAGGCTGTAGACCCAGGACTGAGGCTGTAGATCCAGGACTGAGGCTGTAGACCCAGGACTGAGGCTGCTGTAGACCCAGGACTGAGGCTGTAGACCCAGGACTGAGGCTGCTGTAGACCCAGGACTGAGGTTGCTGTAGACCCAGGACTGAGGTTGCTGTAGACCCAGGACTGAGGCTGCTGTAGACCCAGGACTGAGGCTGCTGTAGACCCAGGACTGAGGCTGTAGACCCAGGACTGAGGCTGCTGTAGACCCAGGACTGAGGTTGCTGTAGACCCAGGACTGAGGTTGCTGTAGACCCAGGACTGAGGCTGTAGACCCAGGACTGAGGCTGCTGTAGACCCAGGACTGAGGCTGCTGTAGACCCAGGACTGAGGCTGCTGTAGACCCAGGACTGAGGCTGTAGACCCAGGACTGAGGCTGCTGTAGACCCAGGACTGAGGCTGCTGTAGATCCAGGACTGAGAGTTTTAACACTGTCTCTCATCACAAACCATTATTTTTAAAGATTTTAGATTTTAGAGATTTTAGCATTCTAAATCATCCAAGTCCATTTAAAAGGCCAAAACCTACTTATGCATAATGTTCTTGTTGAATGTGTTCAGGGACACCGGTGACATCCTGTTGAAAGTGTGTAACCTTCTACCTCAAGACACGGGTATTTACACGTGTGTCGCAGTCAACGAACACGGATCGGCTTCGTCCTCTGCCTCCATAAAGGTTCAAGGTATAAGACTGTAAAACTCTGTAATGGTGCTTTTATACGCTGTAAGACGACTCTGTGTGTTTTAGAATTGATTTTGAGCTCGTTTAGCTCTGACACTCTGCTATAATTATGAACGAGCCCTTCCCCCGCAGTCTTAGACCCTCGGGCAGGTCTCTGTGACTGCTCCAAGGCTCCAGACTAAAGGTGACCGAGCCTTCTCTGTCCGGGGTCCTATGCTTTGGAACCACCCGAGAAGATAAGGCTCCATCAGTCTCCTCTTTTAAATCCCTCTCCCGCCTCCAACTGGTCCAGAACGCAGCAGCAGACTTCACACTGGTCTGAACAGAAGGGAGCACATCACCCCTGTGTTAGCGTCCCTTCACTGGCTCCTGTGGGTTTTAGAATAGATTTTAAGATTTTTCTAATTACTTTTAAAGCTTGTTTAGGTCTGACACCCAGTTATATTTATAAACCAGCCCTTCCTCTGCAGACGTAGATCCTCTGGCAGGTCCTTGTGACGGTTCCAAGGTCGAGACTCCGGAGCCTTCTCTGTCCTGGGTCCTCGTCTTTGGAACCATCTGCTCGAGGAGATAAGGCTCCATCAGTCTCCTCTTTTAAATCACTTCTTTAACCCCACTTTTATCAAACAGCTTTTAACTGATAGTTTTAAACTTCCCATTTTGTATTTTACTGTCTGCTTTGTCTTTTGTTGTGTCTTTCTTCTTGTGTTTGCTTTGTCTTCCTGTATCTTTTCTATCTCATTATTTTGACTTAGTTATTATTATTATTCTTCAGTAAACTACCTTTTCCTTATTGTTTTCTCTGTAGGGATCCCTGCGGCCCCTGGGAGGCCCGTGGCGCAGGAGGCCAGCAGCTCGTCCGTGATGGTCCACTGGTCTCCGCCTCCGTCGTCCGCCCACAGCGCCGTGAGCAGCTACAGCGTGGAGTACCGACAGGAGGGTACGGACCTGGCTCTTTCACAACACCATCATCTCCCTGACCAAGACCGCTTTGGTCCAAATGTGTCGGTCCGGGGTCTCCAACCTTTTTCAGGCAGAGAGCTGCAACAGAACACACAGAGAGCTAGTCCTCTTTGCTCTCATAATGAAAATATGAAAAAACATGGAAATCAGATGTTGAAAATACCATAATACTGTATAACCCTTTATTTATACTGATAATAGATGTGTAATGTGTTGTGTTTAGCTATTGGACCCCAAAGCAGAGACTGGAATAAACTCTTTAAACTTGCTTCTGTATTCAAACAATCTTGGAGGCAGGGAATCTGGCAGTGTGGTGCTGAGAAATCCTGGTATTCATACTGGTCTTGGTTAGTGATGAAGGGCAGGTGTTGAGACTCAGCACCGGGGAAGCCAGCCACGCCCCTGCCACGCCCCGGCCACGCCCCTGCCACACACCTCTCTGCTGCAACAGAAAACACAGGGGGGAGGGAACAGAACAGAAGCCAAAACCAGAACAGTAAATGGCTCAAAAGTGAATCATTCAAGATCATTGGTTCAATTATTATTTTCATTATTCTTAGCTATGGATCCTGTGCTGCATGTGAGTCCTAAATAAAGACTAAATAAATAAATGTTAAATCCTTTGGGGAGCTTCCTGAAAGGGGCTGGCGAGCTACAGGTTGGAGACCCCTGATGTAGGCCGTTCATTATTATCAAAGGACTTGTACATGTTCTCACTTCCACAGAGCGCCTCAGACTCACTGCTCCATCACAACGATCGAGTCAAACCTATGTCTGCGAGCCATTATTTTCTGATTGATAAAACCGACTTTGTCTCGCTCCTTCCATAGACTCGTTTCTATGGCAACAAGTTTGCAGCAGTTGTGAGGAGTGTGTGCAGATCGACGCCCTGATCCCGGGGGGGCACTATCAGTTCAGGGTCAGAGCCTCCAATCGCTGGGGAGTGGGACCTCCGTCTGAGCCCTCCAACATGGTCACGTTACCCAGCACCAGTAAGCAACATTTCGGATATTTTTCTAATCTCTCCACACTGGGATGAAGTGAGGCCTGGACACACTGGTCCATCAAAGCCTCCGACCAAACACCCTCCATTCACTCTCTGCATTCACACATATTGTACATGTTTTAAAGGCAGACACAGGGAGAACGTGCAAACACCACTCAGAAAGACCTGGAGGTGGAGTCGAACCCAAGACCTCCTTGTGCGTCGTATTTAATTATATAAACATAGAATTGTGTTTTCAGGTGTTGATGGTGCCGCAGTCCAATGGAAGGAGAACTTTGAGACGTCTTTTTCTGAGATCCTGGAGATCGGCCGGTACAGAAATCTGCTCTCACCACTTCACACTCTTAAAGATGGAACCAAACTACAAACTAAAATGTTTGGTTCCATCAGGAGCTTTCACTTGTGTTTTTGGCCTTTGTTCCATCTTTAAATCAGCCTTTTCAGGGGGAAAACTGAAAACTAAAGAAGGTCAGCTCTTATCTAAGATAAAGACGGCATGTTTCTGATTGGACAAACGACATGTACTTTTAATGTAAATATTTGGTAAACCAGTTTAAATTATGTTTGTGAGAGCCAAAACAGTTAAAATTCTCTAAAGAGTCTAATTTAAAGTAAAAAATATAAGTTTTTTTTGATCAATCAGAATGTGTTTTTAAAAAAAACCTAATAAGCTACTGTTTGAACGGATAAAGTTCTTGAGTTTAAAGAATGATTATAAAATTGTAAAAGTTACTGTAAATATCAAATAAGGATTAAAACCTGTAGATATTTTACAGTAGAGCAGCTTTAACACCAGAGACATCCCCATTATTTAGACTGCTCTGATGTCATTCAGGTGTGGGACCATGTGGGGCCATGTGGGACCATAGACTGGGACCATGTGGGGCCATGTGGGACCATAGACTGGGACCATGTGGGGCCATGTGGGACCATGTGGGGCCATAGACTGGGACCATAGGAGCACATTATTTTGTTAAATAAATGGCCTTACCAGATCTGGTCTCCCTGGTCTCCCTGGTCTCCCTGGTGTCCCTGGTCTCCCTGGTCTCCCTGGTCTTCCTGGTCTTCAGCGTCAGAAGAACTGGTGCTTCTGGCTGTGGTGGTTTTTAAAGGAGTCACTACGATGTTCATGGTATACTTTATTTTATTTGTATTTTTTAGGGGAAGATTTTCCGTGGTCAGAAAATGTCTGAACAAATCCTCGAAGAAGGAGGTACAGTAAGATCAGTGTTGATGCTTCTTTAGGTCCACGTTTGAACCGTGTGACCAGGTGTTCTGCGTTGCCAGGTTGCAGTTAAATTCGTCAGTAAAAAAATGCTGAAGAAGGAAGCGGTGGCTCACGAAGCTGACATCCTGCGCCAGGTGCAGCATCACCAGGTGGTGGCGCTGTTGGACACTTACGGACTATTTATGATTTTAGTCCCATCTGTGATTTTAATGTTTAAAGGTTTTTTAATTTTTGTGATTTTATTTTTAATGTTTTTAATATATCTTGTGCTCTTAATGTGTTTGATTTATGCATGATGTGATAGGGGATGTGAAGCGCTTTGCGTTGCCTTGTGTAGGAAAGGCGCTATACAAATAAACGTTGATTGATTGATTGATATGTACAGGCGTTGACACTATGTACAGGCGTTGACACTATGTACAGGCGTTGACACTATGTACAGGCGTTGACACTATGTACAGGCGTTGACACTATGTACAGGCGTTGACACTATGTACAGGCGTTGACTATGTTCAGGCGTTGACACTATGTACAGGCGTTGACACTATGTACAGGCGTTGACACTATGTACAGGCGTTGACACTATGTACAGGCGTTGACACTATGTACAGGCGCTGACACTATGTACAGGCGTTGACACTATGTACAGGCGTTGACACTATGTACAGGCGTTGACACTATGTACAGGCGTTGACACTATGTACAGGCGTTGACACTATGTACAGGCGTTGACACTATGTACAGGCGTTGACACTATGTACAGGCGTTGACTATGTACAGGCGTTGACACTATGTACAGGCGTTGACACTATGTACAGGCGTTGACACTATGTACAGGCGTTGACACTATGTACAGGCGTTGACACTATGTACAGGCGCTGACACTATGTACAGGCGTTGACTATGTACAGGCGTTGACACTATGTACAGGCGTTGACTATGTACAGGCGTTGACACTATGTACAGGCGTTGACACTATGTACAGGCGTTGACACTATGTACAGGCGTTGACACTATGTACAGGCGTTGACACTATGTACAGGCGTTGACACTATGTACAGGCGTTGACGCTGTACAGGCGTTGACACTATGTACAGGCGTTGACACTATGTACAGGCGTTGACTATGTACAGGCGTTGACACTATGTACAGGCGTTGACACTATGTACAGGCGTTGACACTATGTACAGGCGTTGACACTATGTACAGGCGTTGACACTATGTACAGGCGTTGACACTATGTACAGGCGTTGACACTATGTACAGGCGTTGACTATGTACAGGCGTTGACTATGTACAGGCGTTGACACTATGTACAGGCGTTGACACTATGTACAGGCGTTGACACTATGTACAGGCGTTGACACTATGTACAGGCGTTGACACTATGTACAGGCGCTGACACTATGTACAGGCGTTGACACTATGTACAGGCGTTGACACTATGTACAGGCGTTGACACTATGTACAGGCGTTGACTATGTACAGGCGTTGACACTATGTACAGGCGTTGACACTATGTACAGGCGTTGACACTATGTACAGGCGTTGACTATGTACAGGCGTTGACACTATGTACAGGCGTTGACACTATGTACAGGCGTTGACACTATGTACAGGCGTTGACACTATGTACAGGCGTTGACACTATGTACAGGCGTTGACACTATGTACAGGCGCTGACACTATGTACAGGCGTTGACTATGTACAGGCGTTGACACTATGTACAGGCGTTGACACTATGTACAGGCGTTGACTATGTACAGGCGTTGACACTATGTACAGGCGTTGACACTATGTACAGGCGTTGACACTATGTACAGGCGTTGACACTATGTACAGGCGTTGACACTATGTACAGGCGTTGACACTATGTACAGGCGTTGACACTATGTACAGGCGTTGACACTATGTACAGGCGTTGACACTATGTACAGGCGTTGACACTATGTACAGGCGTTGACACTATGTACAGGCGTTGACACTATGTACAGGCGTTGACTATGTACAGGCGTTGACACTATGTACAGGCGTTGACACTATGTACAGGCGTTGACACTATGTACAGGCGTTGACACTATGTACAGGCGTTGACACTATGTACAGGCGTTGACACTATGTACAGGCGTTGACACTATGTACAGGCGCTGACACACACGTACACACATGTGCATTAATGTTGCAGTCTGTATAATGCATGTTGCCCCAGGTCACAGACTTCGTTATTCAACTTCACGTCTCCTGACCTCAGCTCTCGATGCATCTGAAGTCATTCAGAAGTCTATTGTATTGTCCCAAACTGTACAAAGGAGGTTAATTACATGTTTATTACATGTTTTTGAACTGGAGTAATCAAATTATTATTATTATCACGTACTAAATGTTCTTTACTTACAGACAGCCAATTGGAACCATCTGCACCACCCATCACTGGTACGACTAAGTAATGAACAGTCCAGGAAGTTGTGTGTCTAGACCAGTGGGGGCGGGTCCCGGCTCAAAATTGTCCAAAATGACGTGCGCTGACATGCTGCAGTACCACCCCGGGCCTGTGGGGGTGGACCCGGAACTGAAGAAGAATTAGCCAATGCTAACATATAGCATTAGCTGACCTCTGGAAAACATCTTTAGCGGCAAGAGCTCTGGTGTGTGTCGTCTTCTCTGTCTGGCGCACACCGGGGTAGTCTTGCACAGTTTTCCAATGTGGTTTTACTGCAAATGGCAAATATAATGAATCTGAATCTGAATCTTTACAGGATGGTCCAAAAGTGTCTCTTGGCCCAAAGCTCCGTTCCACATGTGTGTCAATGCTGAGTGTTCTGGACCAGTCTAGTTTAGTCGCTGTGGACTTTAGAAGTCTCTCGTTTAAATGAATGGAGCTCGTGCAGCTGACGCATGCACAGATGCGTTTTTCACATTTTCCAGCCCCCGCGGCCATTTTGAAACTGCCCATAGACCGCAGAAGTTGTGGCACATTAGTTAGAACGGCGGAGATAGAAGTGACTACGTCTGTTAATATTTACAGTCTATGGTCCACCCAAGCCCCAGTGATCCAAGATGGCGCCCTATTCAAACGAATGGCTAGTGCTCAGTAGTTCATGGGACTTCACGGGGACCGGGAGATTAGCAGAACTCGCCCATATTTGGGCATCGTCTGGTCCTCCCGGTCTGCGCAGTGGACGAGCTCCCATGATGCTTTGCGCTAAATACGCGTGTGTGGCTCTCATGCACGTGCACAGAGGGGCTCGGCCGCGCTCTGACCAATCAGAGCTGATCAGAGCAGCAGCAGAGCGGAGTCAGAGCGGGAAGGAAAGGAGCAGAGTTTGTGGCAGTAAAGTGTGGATTTAAAGAAAAAAAGTTCAGAACGACAAGGGACACTAAAATCCCCACAAAATCCGATCTTTATGAAAGCTGTAGGTTCTCTGTCAGGTTCTCTGTCAGGTTCTCAGCTGAGGTCGTGCTGTTTTAATTTACGTTGAGTTCTATGGGACTTTTTTCTGCATAGCCCATGTGAACTTAGTCTGCAGAACCACAGCGCCCCCTGTGGCCATGGGTGGGACAGCTGTAAGCTAGTAACACTCTATCCAGTTATTGTTATAGATCCATGGTCCAGGAGGACCATGTCTGAGGATAGAATTTAGTCCGATCCGATTTGTTTTAGTGTTTCCTTTAGTAATAACTGAATCACTGTTACTCACAGTCAGTTCCTGTCGGTGAAAGTGCAGCTGTTGTATGAAGCAAAAAAAGGAAAAACATCTAAGGATAAAAAGTAAGAAAAACACTCAAAAACCTTCTTAAGCAGGTGACTGGTTTAATCAGCTGTTAATGGAGCATCGAGTCATCGAGGCGTACTGCATCTGGTTTCCACATGACGACAAAGACGGTCGTGTGAGTGAATAAAAACCATGCAGGCAGTTAGAACCTGTACTGGTCTTTTACTGGTTTGTACATATTGACTTACACAGTTCATGTTCAAATGTGTAAAATCATTTAGAATTGTCCTTTTAATGTGATTAGAATTCATTCGGTCATTTCTAAAAACCCAATTGATGCGCTCTGACTTCATCTGAAGATCAGCGAGCCGACTCCAGGCCGAAGCAAAAGGCCCAGTGATAAATGTGTTTGGAAGTGACCGTCCCAATAACTGTTAGTGCCCACTTCTCAAAATCAGGCAAAATGAGAAAACAGATTCATAGATAGTTTAAACCGTTAAAAAGAGAGACAGGACACGAAGGAAATAAACTGTCTGAGCAATTGATAATATATGCTCTAAGAAGAATAACACAATAATTATTATTTCTCTCTTTTTATCTTCTATATCCTACGCCTCTTCCTCTTCCTCTGGGATTAGAACAATCCAAATGACTGAGAAGAAGAGAATTCTAATGAAAAAGATTTTTAAAGGTCCTCCTGCCGTTTTAATCACAGACGTGTGTCTCGTAAACCACTCTCTGTCATGGTCAAACAGGTGTGCAGTAGAGCCGCTCATACAGACACACACACATAGAGATACACACACAGAGACACACACAGACACACACACACACACACACACACACACAGACAGAGACACACACAGACACAGACACAGACACACACACAGACACAGACACATGTGTCTGTGTCTGTGTGTGTGTCTTTGTGTGTGTGTGTGCACACACACACACACAAAGACACACACACAGACACACACACAGACACACACACATCTGGTGTCTGGGCTGTTCCATTATTCAACCTTTTACTATGATTTATTCACAGCATGACCAAAGCTGACGCACTGAGACTCGCCGTGTCTTTGAGGAAGAAGATGGAGGAAGAGGAAGAGGAAGTGGAAGTGTGGGCGAAAAGGCAAAATTAGTATTTATATTAGTAACACAGAATAGAGTCAGGGCCAGAAGTTAGGACACAGATACAGGAGACATTCAACAGGTCGACAGTGGAGCCCGGCAGTGTCCACTAACCCAAACCCAAACCCAAACCCTAACCCATATTCTGTAGTTTAAATGACTTGAAATGACTGGTTTAGGTTCACATCCCCCAGGTCTCATTAGTGCGTTTCTGCTTTAACACTATAACAGCCTGGAGTCTTTGGAGGTTGTGTGGATGAGGTCGTTTAAACTAAGTCAGTATTTATTTCAAACTTATATTTTTCAAACAGCATCATTTAGATAAACAAGATACAGTTAGAAAAATACAGCTGGAAAAGGGTTGGACAAAGAAGATGCTTATTGGGCTTCAACCTCTGTCGCTCCCACAAAACATACACACACAGACACACACACACACACACACACAAACACACACAGACACACAATAGATTTTATATACAATATTTAACTTCACACAACCAAAGAATAGGAAACATATCATAATCCCCAACTTACCTTATCTGACTTTCAAGCAAGTATGTTATGAACTGAAATGGATGATGAAGATGATGAAGATGATGAAGTGTGTTTGTGTGAGCACCTTGGATATGTCTTGCCCATCAATGCGGATGGAGCCGCTACAAAGATCATAAAATCTAAAAAGCAGACGCAGAATGGAGCTCTTCCCTGATCCCGACGGACCAACCTGCACAAACATGTTTTTAGTGGGAAAACATTGTAAAGTCAATCACAAATTATTACAAAGTGGGAAATATTCTGAATTTAGACTTGCTATAACCTCTCAAAGTGGAAAATATTTCAAAAGGATGAACTGTAAAGGAACTGGGAGGAGCAGAAACTCACCAGAGCCACCGTCTGTCCCGGTTCCACTGCAAAGGTCACTTCTTTTAACACCTCCGTCCTGCAGAAAAAACATGCATGTATGAAGTATGTATATGTATAAAGTATGTATAAAGTATGTATGAAGTATGTATATGTGTAAAGTATGTATAAAGCATGTATAAAGTATGTATGAAGTATGTGTAAAGTATGTATGAAGTATGTATGAAGTATGTGTAAAGTATGTGTAAAGTATGTATGAAGTATGTATAAAGTATGTATGAAGTATGTGTAAAGTATGTATGAAGTATGTATGAAGTATGTATAAAGTATGTATAAAGTATGTATGAAGTATGTATGAAGTATGTATGAAGTATGTGTAAAGTATGTGTAAAGTATGTATGAAGTATGTATAAAGTATGTATGAAGTATGTATAAAGTATGTATAAAGCATGTATAAAGCATGTATAAAGTATGTATAAAGCATGTATAAAGCATGTATAAAGTATGTATGAAGTATGTATGAAGCATGTATAAAGTATGTATAAAGTATGTATGAAGTATGTATAAAGTATGTATGAAGTATGTATGAAGTATGTATAAAGTATGTATGAAGTATGTATAAAGTATGTATAAAGCATGTATAAAGCATGTATAAAGTATGTATAAAGTATGTATGAAGTATGTATAAAGTATGTATAAAGTATGTATAAAGCATGTATAAAGTATGTATGAAGTATGTATAAAGTATGTATAAAGCATGTATAAAGCATGTATAAAGTATGTATGAAGTATGTATGAAGTATGTATGAAGTATGTATAAAGTATGTATGAAGTATGTATAAAGCATGTATAAAGCATGTATAAAGTATGTATGAAGTATGTATAAAGTATGTATAAAGTATGTATAAAGCATGTATAAAGTATGTATGAAGTATGTATAAAGTATGTATAAAGCATGTATAAAGCATGTATAAAGTATGTATGAAGTATGTATAAAGTATGTATGAAGCATGTATAAAGCATGTATAAAGCATGTATAAAGCATGTATAAAGTATGTAATGTATAAAGTATTGTATAAAGTATGTATAAAGCATGTATAAAGTATGTATGAAGTATGTGTAAAGTATGTATGAAGTATGTATGAAGCATGTATAAAGTATGTATAAAGTATGTATAAAGCATGTATAAAGTATGTATAAAGTATGTATGAAGTATGTATGAAGTATGTATAAAGTATGTATGAAGTATGTATAAAGCATGTATAAAGCATGTATAAAGTATGTATGAAGTATGTATAAAGTATGTATGAAGTATGTATAAAGCATGTATAAAGTATGTATAAAGTATGTATAAAGTATGTATAAAGCATGTATAAAGTATGTATGAAGTATGTATAAAGTATGTATACAGATAAGCCCAGATATAACTAGTATAGATGGATCGTATGCAGTATCGCATGTACCCCGGCACGTAGCTGAAGCAGACTTTATCCAACTCCACACGTCCTGCAGTGAGGCACAAGTCCTGAGCGTCCACAGCGTCTTGCACCTAAAGCCAGAGATGGAGAGATTAAAGACATTTACATAAAAAAGTACTGCATGTATGACAGATTGGAAGTATTTAGCAGTAGTTGGGCTTTACAGTAGGTTATTCCATTCAAAATTAAGATCACAATTTCAATTCCACGTTTGCCCTTTTTGGTCCGATAATATTACTTCCTGGTTGTGCAATTAATGGAATTCATCTAACATGGTTTTTGATCTCATGTGGTTCTAATAGAATCAGCACCTCCAAATCCGAGGCCATGGTGCTCGACCGGAAAAAGGTGCCTTGCCCTCTCCAGGCGGGTGGGTCCTTCCTCAAGTGGAGGAGTTCAAGTATCTCGAGTCTTGTTCACGAGTGAGGGAAGGATGGAGCGTGAGATTGACAGGCGGATCGGTGCAGTGTGCGCAGTGATGCGGTCGCTGTATCAAACCGTTGTGGTAAAGAGGGAGCAGCGTCTGCAGTCAGAGCTGTATCGGACCGTTGTGGTAAAGAGGGAGCAGCGTCTGCAGTCAGAGCTGTATCGGACCGTTGTGGTAAAGAGGGAGCTGAGCCGAAAGGCAAAGCTCTCGATTTACCGGTCAATCTTCGTTCCCTCCCTCACCTATGGTCATGAGCTGTGGGTAATGACCGAAAGAACGAGATCGCGGATACAAGCGGTCGAAATGAGCTTCCTCCGCAGAGTGGCTGCTCCCTTAGAGATAGAGTGAGGAGCTCAGTCACACGGGAGGAGCTCGGAGTAGAGCCGCTGCTCCCTTAGAGATAGGGTGAGGAGCTCAGTCACACGGGAGGAGCTCGGAGTAGAGCCGCTGCTCCCTTAGAGATAGGGTGAGGAGCTCAGTCACACGGGAGGAGCTCGGAGTAGAGCCGCTGCTTCTCCACGTTGAGAGGAACCAGTTGAGGTGGCTCGGGCATCTGTTCCGGATGCCTCCTGGAGGCCTCCCTGGGGAGGTGTTCCGGGCACGCCCCACCGGGAGGAGGCCCCGGGGAAGACCCAGGACACGCTGGAGGGACTATGTCTCTCAGCTGGCCTGGGAACGCCTTGGGGTTCCCCCGGACGAGCTGGAGGAAGTGTGTGTGGATAGGGAAGTCTGGGCGTCTCTGCTTAGACTGCTGCCCCCGCGACCCGGCAACGGATAAAGCGGAAGAAAATGGATGGTGGTTCTAATACTACTTTTCACATGCATGTACTTTAGATCAGCTGTTTCAGACGGAGAAGTAGAAAAACTAGGACCCCTCCCACAGAGTTAAAGTCAGACGCCATGTTTTCTAAAGAGGTGAACACAGCATGTTTTGGTCTGATTTGTTCAAATAAGTAAGTAATGTTTAATTATATAGCGCATTTTTACAGACAAAGGTACAAACCCAAAGTGCTTTACAGTTCAGAGCTGTAAAGCACTTCAGAGCTCAGATAGTTTTACATTCTCTCCACACAGTGATGACAGAAGCGAGTCCAGAACACACTGGTCCATCAAAGCCTCTGACCAAACACCCTCCATTCACTCTTTACATTCAGACCTATTGTGCATGTTTTTAGTGGTAGGAGAAACCGAAGCACCCGGAGGAAACCTACACAGACACAGGAGAACATGCAAGCTCCACTCAGAAAGGCCCTGTTCCGACCGGGATTCGAACCCAGTACATTCTTGCTGAGAAGCGAGAGTGCATAAATTGTATAATGTTACTTTTACAAGGCATAAAAAGTTAGCTACGCCGTCTTTAGACAATGAAAATGTTCCTTTGTTCATTTTCCGCATTGCGACTTGTGACGGATCAACACAAAAGCAAAGATTTCTTTCTTTCTTTTCCTCATTATTGATCTAACCTTTTTTATGGCTTTGGTTCCCGACCATTCCTCTCTTCTCCTCTCCCCTCCTCTCTCCTCCTCTCTCCTCCTATCTCCTCCTCTCTCCTCCTCTCTCCTCCTCTCTCCTCCTATCTCCTCCTCTCTCCTCCTCTCTCCTCCTCTCCCCTCCGCTCCCCTCCTCTCTCCTCCTCTCTCCTCCTATCTCCTCCTCTCTCCTCCTCTCTCCTCCTCTCTCCTCTCTCCTCCTCTCTCCTCCTCTCCCCTCTCTCCTCCTCTCTCCTCTCTCTCTCCTCTCTCCTCCTCTCTCCTCCTCTCCCCTCCTCTCTCCTCTCTCCTCCTCTCTCCTCCTCTCTCCTCTCTCCTCCTCTCTCCTCTCTCCTCCTCTCTCCTCCTCTCCCCCTCCTCTCCCCTCCTCTCTCCTCCTCTCTCCTCCTCTCCCCTCCTCTCTCCTCCTCTCCCCTCCTCTCCCCTCCTCTCTCCTCCTCTCTCCTCCTCTCTCCTCTTCTCTCCTCCTCTCCCCTCCGCTCCCCTCCTCTCCCCTCCTCTCTCCTCTCTCCTCCTCTCTCCTCCTCTCCCCTCCTCTCTCCTCCTCTCCCCTCCTCTCTCCTCCTCTCCCCTCCTCTCTCCTCCTCTCCCCTCCTCTCCCCTCCTCTCCCCTCCTCTCCCCTCCTCTCTCCTCCTCTCTCCTCTCTCTCTCCTCCTCTCTCCTCCTCTCTCCTCTCTCTCTCCTCTCTCTCCTCCTCTCTCCTCTCTCTCTCCTCTCTCCTCCTCTCTCCTCCTCTCTCCTCCTCTCTCCTCCTCTCTCTCCTCTCTCCTCCTCTCTCCTCCTCTCTCTCTCCTCCTCTCTCCTCTCCTCTCTCCTCCTCTCTCCTCCTCTCTCCTCTCTCCTCCTCTCTCTCTCTCCCTCCTCTCTCCTCCTCTCTCCTCCTCTCTCCTCCTCTCCCCTCCTCTCTCCTCCTCTCTCCTCCTCTCTCCTCCTCTCCCCTCCTCTCTCCTCCTCTCCCCCTCCTCCTCCCCCTCCTCTCCCCTCCTCTCTCCTCCTCTCTCCTCCTCTCTCCTCCTCTCTCCTCCTCTCCTCTCTCCTCTCCCCTCCTCTCTCCTCCTCTCTCCTCCTCTCCCCTCCTCTCTTCTCCTCTCTCCTCCTCTCCCTCCTCTCCCCTCCTCTCTCCTCCTCTCCCCTCCTCTCTCCTCCTCTCCCCTCCTCTCCCCTCCTCTCTCCTCCTCTCTCCTCCTCTCTCCTCCTCTCCCCTCCTCTCTCCTCCTCTCCCCTCCTCTCTCTTCCTCTCCCCTCCTCTCTCCTCCTCTCTCCTCTCTCCTCTCTCCTCCTCTCCCCTCCTCCTCTCCCCTCCTTTCTCCTCCTCTCTCCTCCTCTCTCCTCCTCTCTCCTCTCTCCTCCTCTCCCCCCTCCTCTCTCCTCCTCTCTCCTTCTCTCTCAGCGTCTACGCCTCCTTCTTCCCAAGCCAAAGAAAAAGCTCTGCTTTGAAGGTGCTCTAATGCTTTTGTGAGCATTCATGGCCCTGTTTACCATATCAAGGCCTGTGACTGTAGCGGACTTTACCGAGGCCGCCGGAGAACGCCCTCCTCCTCTCTCCTCCTCTCTCCTCTCTCCTCCTCTCTCCTCCTCTCTCATCCTCTCTCCTCTCTCTTCCTCCTCTCTCCTCTCTCCTCCTCTCTCCTCCTCTCTCCTCCTCTCCCCTCCTCTCCCCTCCTCTCTCCTCCTCTCCCCTCCTCTCCTCCTCCTCTCTCTCCTCCTCTCCTCCTCTCCCCCCTCCTCTCTCCTCCTCTCCCCTCCTCCTCTCCCCTCCTCTCCCCTCCTCTCTCCTCCTCTCTCCCTCCTCTCTCCTCCTCTCTCCTCTCTCCTCTCCCCTCCTCTCTCCTCCTCTCTCCTCCTCTCCCCTCCTCTCTTCTCCTCTCTCCTCCTCTCTCCTCCTCTCCCCTCCTCTCTCCTCCTCTCCCCTCCTCTCTCCTCCTCTCCCCTCCCCTCCTCTCTCCTCCTCTCCCCTCCTCTCTCCTCCTCTCCCCTCCTCTCTCCTCCTCTCCCCTCCTCTCTCCTCCTCTCCCCTCCTCTCTCCTCCTCTCCCCTCCTCTCTCCTCCTCTCTCCTCTCTCCTCTCTCTCTCCTCCTCTCCCCTCCTTTCTCCTCCTCTCTCCTCCTCTCTCCTCCTCTCTCCTCTCTCCTCCTCTCCCCCCTCCTCTCTCCTCCTCTCTCCTTCTCTCTCAGCGTCTACGCCTCCTTCTTCCCAAGCCAAAGAAAAAGCTCTGCTGTGTTTTGAAGGTGCTCTAATGCTTTTGTGAGCATTCATGGCCCTGTTTACCATATCAAGGCCTGTGACTGTAGCGGACTTTACCGAGGCCGCCGGAGAACGCCCTTTTCCCACCAAAACACACACATTTGGACACGGCACGTACCGACACTGCCACACAAACGAACACACAGACACACAAACACTTGTTGACCTCCTAATCCGTTGAGCCACGACTGTGAGTTCGCAGAAAGACTTAAGCGTCCTGACAAAGTGACTGCGGGCACCGACCCACACCGGCTGCTGGAGGTTTGGATGTGGTTCTATTCCCGGAGAAATATCACTGGGAAACTTTAGTTTTTAAAACATTTGTTCTTCTTTTTAATTATTATTTTTCCAAGATAGAGATTTTATACTTGTTCTTTGATGCTGGAGTTAGAGATTCTGTTTGATTTTAATTAGTAATTGTCAAAATTACAATGCACTTTTTGAAGTTTTTTGGACACATCATTATCCTCTCTCTCCAAACACAGTGGTGATAAACTACTGTAGCCACAGCTGCCCTGGGGCACACTGACAGAAGCAAGGCAACCAGTCTGTGCCATCGGCCCCTCCCACCACCACCAACCATTCACACACACACCAGACGCATTCTAATGTGGGGGAAGTGTCTTGCCTAAGGACACAACCACAGCTTGGCATTTTACAGCTGCAGCCGCCCCACTGTGGCACCTGCTGTTCCCAGAGGTTAAGTGTCTTGCCCAAGGACACAACGACAGCAGACATCAGTGGGAGTCGGTGGAGAAGGTCATGTGGTGGACTCGAACCCACAACCTTCAGGCTCAAAAGGCCAATGCTCTACAAACAGAGCTACTGTTGCTCCAGTTTAAAGTAATTGTTCATTTATCTTGTGCCGTGTGCTCCTCTTTCCTTCTGTTCTCTAACTTGTGATGCAACACTGACATTTCCCCACTGTGGGGCCAGTAAAAGATCTTAATCTTAATCTTAAGCTGCAGAGTCTGGTCAGGCCTAATACTGACCTCCACTTGCTCTGTCAGCAGATCCAGCATGTTCTCCATGTCTACAAACGCACTTTGAATAAGCCTGAAAGAGAAAAGCCAACACGACTCAGACCAGGGTTTCCAAACTGGGGTCCCAGGCCAAACTCTTAATCTTGGCTGTTACTCTTAATTTCACTGTTGGATTATAAATTACATAAATCCAAAACCTGCAACTTCCATTATACAGATAATCTATTCTTTATTGTTGGGTCCTCATTCCAACTATTCATTACATAGATATTCATTATAACAGCAAACAGGAGTAGCTCTCTGTGGCTGTTGTTGTCTGAAAGTAGCTCTCTTGTTGGAATGGGTTGGAGACCCCTGGGTTAGGGTTCATTGTGGATGGGTTAGGACTAGGGTTAGGACTAGGATTAGGACTAGGGTTAGGACTAGGATTAGGACTAGGGTTAGGACTAGGATTAGGACTAGGGTTAGGACTAGGGTTAGGACTAGATTAGGACTAGGGTTAGGACTAGGATTAGGACTAGGATTAGGACTAGGGTTAGGACTAGGATTAGGACTAGGGTTAGGACTAGGGTTAGGACTAGGATTAGGACTAGGGTTAGGACTAGGGTTAGGACTAGGATTAGGACTAGGATTAGGACTAGGGTTAGGACTAGATTAGGACTAGGATTAGGAGTAGGATTAGAACTAGGGTTAGGACTAGGATTAGGACTAGGATTAGAACTAGGATTAGGACTAGGATTAGGATTAGGAGTAGGGTTAGGACTAGGATTAGAACTAGGATTAGAACTGGGATTAGAACTAGGATTAGGACTAGGATTAGGATTAGGACTAGGGTTAGGTTATGGGTTAAGATCAGGCTAAACTGAGTGGATCTTTCACATGCAGGTGGAGCCACATACTGTTGGTTCTAAACCCAAATCTTTACCTGTAGTAAGTCCCAAACCAGTTGAGTGGCGTGTAGAGCTGGATTATGTATGTCCCGAACAAAACATAGTCCCCCACCTCCAGAGACAACACCATGACATGTTTAAACGTCTAAATAATGTTAAATAATAATAATAATAATAATGTATCACTGCACTTTACCTGAAACTGTCCCTCTGACACCAGGTGAGCACACAGCAGCGACCCGGCCAGGAGTCCAGACCCTATGATCACATTCTGGGTTTGGTTTAATAACGCCAAAGAAGCAGAGCTCTTCCACTCACAAAGCTGCACAAACATTCAGACGTTATTATAAAAAGATAAAGCCGTCTATAAAAAATAATATATACTAATTTCTTACTTGAAAACTCTGAATTGCCTTTTCAAAACAAACGGCCTCATAATTCTCCGCGCTGTAATATTTAACCTGTGGAGTTTCACTGAAGCATTATTAATTCAGTAATAATGATAATAACAGTTTAATGTTATGAATTACAGTCTCAAAGTTGAGCAGAGAGTCCATGGCTCGAGTTTTGGCGTTGTTGTCCTGACTGTTCATCTCCCTCCTGTATTTGGTTCTCCACTCCGTGATGAGCACCGTGCAGGCTGCAGGCAACGAGAGCATAGAAAGGATTCAGTCTGAATCTGCTCCAGACGTCAGTGTTCCTTCTTATTCAAGTCATTGTTGTTGAATTCAGTTTGAGTGGCGTTATTACATTAGGAACAATATGAGGACACTTTATGGAATTTTATGCAAATCTAAAAAAATGTGTTTAAAGTGAAGTCACATTTCAGGTAACTATCTTTAAAACCATTCAAGCAACTATGTCATAAAATCCATCAATCCATAATTTTCTGTCAAAACAGTTCTTCCACCAGAAGTCCATTGCATCAAATATCAGGGTGTTGTGCAAGTCTTGAAAGTCTTAAGTATGGAATTTTAAAACACTGTTTTCCAGACCTTGAAAATCTTGAATTTTGTGTGAAAGTCTTAATAAAAGTACGGGAAAAATGTATGGTAGAATTTGACAGTGTGCTCAAAGGCTTTGTGAACTGAGACACGGGAAGGTAGGCTTTAAAACTATAATTGTACTAACTGGTCACGTTCTGTATTAGCCTGAATGATCCAATGCTAGCTTAGCTTAGCCTGGTCTGGCACATGTTTGTGATGTCACTGCTGAGGTTTGTTGACACAGAGCTAGCCTAGTGGTCAACACAAATGGGTCATTGCGTGTTTTCGAAGGCAGCAGCGACACAAGTATGTAAAGTTAAGGTCTTGGGAAAGTAAGTAATCTTTATTTATATACCGCCTTTTCACTGCACATCGGAGTCTCAAAGCGGTTTACAATTGTTATTTTGTGTGGGGGGGCCAGTACAGGAGGCACATGCCAGACCTATTGTACATATTTTTAGTGGTAGGGGAAACCGGAGCACCCGGAGGAAACCTACGCAGACACGGGGAGAACATGCAAACTCCACTCAGAAAGGCCCTGGTCCAACCGGGATTCAAACCCAGGACCTTCTTGCTGAGAGGTTCAGTTTTTAAAAAGTCTGGCATTTTAATTTGGAAAAAGAGCCAGCACCCCTGAATCATGACTGAGGGCCCTTTCGTACAAATATGACAACATAAAATCAGAATGTTGAATCTTTTTTAGTCTGGAAAAATAAAAATAATCATATATATTAATCAACACAAAGCAACCCCAGCTTCAATGATTCTTTTGCGTTATGACTACATGACTGTGCCCATAAAGCTAATCTCAGAGTTAAGCAAACCCTTGGACCTACTCAGGTAAAGGACCATGCAGACCAGGACTATGAGCCCGAACCAAAGGCTGAAATAAGAGCTGAAGTAGACAATGGCAATGATGACGTCACAGATGGTGGGGAGGATGCTGAACAGGATGTAGCTAAAGACAAAAACAAACATTAGTTTTGATCCTCGAGCTTCCCCCTGATCTCTGCGGCCTCCAGCGCACCTCAGCAGGTTGTTAATGGACGCCGTGCCCCGGTCAATGCTCCTCAAAACGTCTCCTGTTCTCCGGTCCAGGTGCCATCGGAGAGACAGGGCGTGCAGGTGAGAAAACAAGCGCACCTCAAAAGGAGAAAGAAAGGACATCCCTCAAGCTTAGCCAGGTGTGAGGAAGCGACGTGGGGGAAGTGGGGGGGTCGGCACTAGATCATAAACGGATTCAGGACGAAACCGGAAGCAACAATCCTACTTCCGAATTAGTTTTAGACTAATAAGTCCTTAAGTGGTGACTGGTTAAGTTTTAGGTGTCTGAGTAAGATGGTTAAGGTTAGGGTTAAGGTGGTCTGAGTAAGATGGTTAAGGTTAGGGTTAAGGTGGTCTGAGTAAGATGGTTAAGGTTAGGTTAAGGTGGTCTTAGTAAGATGGTTAAGGTTAGGGTTAAGGTGGTCTGAGTAAGATGGTTAAGGTTAAGGTGGTCTGAGTAAGATGGTTAAGGTTAGGGTTAAGGTGGTCTTAGTAAGATGGTTAAGGTTAGGGTTAAGGTGGGTCTGAGTAAGATGGTTAGGGTTAGGGTTAAGGTGGTCTGAGTAAGATGGTTAAGGTTAGGGTTAAGGTGGTCTGAGTAAGATGGTTAAGGTTAGGGTTAAGGTGGTCTGAGTAAGATGGTTAAGGTTAGGGTTAAGGTGGTCTGAGTTAGATGGTTAAGGTTAGGGTTAAGGTGGTCTGAGTAAGATGGTTAGGGTTAGGGTTAAGGTGGTCTGAGTAAGATGGTTAAGGTTAGGGTTAAGGTGGTCTGAGTAAGATGGTTAAGGTTAGGGTTAAGGTGGGTCTGAGTAAGATGGTTAGGGTTAGGGTTAAGGTGGTCTGAGTAAGATGGTTAAGGTTAGGGTTAAGGCGGTCTGAGTTAGATGGTTAAGGTTAGGGTTAAGGTGGTCTGAGTAAGATGGTTAAGGTTAGGTTAAGGTGGTCTGAGTAAGATGGTTAGGGTTAGGGTTAAGGTGGTCTGAGTAAGATGGTTAAGGTTAGGGTTAAGGTGGTCTGAGTAAGATGGTTAAGGTTAGGGTTAAGGCGGTCTGAGTTAGATGGTTAAGGTTAGGGTTAAGGTGGTCTGAGTAAGATGGTTAAGGTTAGGTTAAGGTGGTCTTAGTAAGATGGTTAAGGTTAGGGTTAAGGTGGTCTGAGTAAGATGGTTAAGGTTAGGTTAAGGTGGTCTGAGTAAGATGGTTAAGGTTAGGGTTAAGGTGGTCTGAGTAAGATGGTTAAGGTTAGGGTTAAGGTGGTCTGAGTAAGATGGTTAAGGTTAGGGTTAAGGTGGTCTGAGTAAGATGGTTAAGGTTAGGTTAAGGTGGTCTGAGTAAGATGGTTAAGGTTAGGGTTAAGGTGGTCTGAGTAAGAGGGTTAAGGTGGTCTGAGTAAGATGGTTAAGGTTAGGTTAAGGTGGTCTTAGTAAGATGGTTAAGGTTAGGGTTAAGGTGGTCTGAGTAAGATGGTTAAGGTTAGGTTAAGGTGGTCTGAGTAAGATGGTTAAGGTTAGGGTTAAGGTGGTCTGAGTAAGATGGTTAAGGTTAGGGTTAAGGTGGTCTGAGTAAGATGGTTAAGGTTAGGGTTAAGGTGGTCTGAGTAAGATGGTTAAGGTTAGGTTAAGGTGGTCTGAGTAAGATGGTTAAGGTTAGGGTTAAGGTGGTCTGAGTAAGATGGTTAAGGTTAGGGTTAAGGTGGTCTGAGTAAGATGGTTAAGGTTAGGGTTAAGGTGGTCTGAGTTAGATGGTTAAGGTTAGGGTTAAGGTGGTCTGAGTAAGATGGTTAGGGTTAGGGTTAAGGTGGTCTGAGTAAGATGGTTAAGGTTAGGGTTAAGGTGGTCTGAGTAAGATGGTTAAGGTTAGGGTTAAGGTGGGTCTGAGTAAGATGGTTAGGGTTAGGGTTAAGGTGGTCTGAGTAAGATGGTTAAGGTTAGGGTTAAGGCGGTCTGAGTTAGATGGTTAAGGTTAGGGTTAAGGTGGTCTGAGTAAGATGGTTAAGGTTAGGTTAAGGTGGTCTGAGTAAGATGGTTAGGGTTAGGGTTAAGGTGGTCTGAGTAAGATGGTTAAGGTTAGGGTTAAGGTGGTCTGAGTAAGATGGTTAAGGTTAGGGTTAAGGCGGTCTGAGTTAGATGGTTAAGGTTAGGGTTAAGGTGGTCTGAGTAAGATGGTTAAGGTTAGGTTAAGGTGGTCTTAGTAAGATGGTTAAGGTTAGGGTTAAGGTGGTCTGAGTAAGATGGTTAAGGTTAGGTTAAGGTGGTCTGAGTAAGATGGTTAAGGTTAGGGTTAAGGTGGTCTGAGTAAGATGGTTAAGGTTAGGGTTAAGGTGGTCTGAGTAAGATGGTTAAGGTTAGGGTTAAGGTGGTCTGAGTAAGATGGTTAAGGTTAGGTTAAGGTGGTCTGAGTAAGATGGTTAAGGTTAGGGTTAAGGTGGTCTGAGTAAGATGGTTAAGGTTAGGGTTAAGGTGGTCTGAGTAAGATGGTTAAGGTTAGGGTTAAGGTGGTCTTAGTAAGATGGTGAAGGTTAAGGTGGTCTGAGTAAGATGGTTAAGGTGGTCTGAGTAAGATGGTTAAGGTGAGGGTTAAGGTGGTCTGAGTAAGATGGTTAAGGTTAGGGTTAAGGTGGTCTGAGTAAGATGGTTAAGG